GTGGGGTGACGCCCGGCCCTGTGGCGGGGCTTTCCGCTGCTCCGCCGGTTGCAGCGGAGCGGCGGGAGGCCCGGACCGCGGCATCTGAGTGGCCGATAGCGGCACCGCGGAGCGCGCCGCGCCTCGCCGCTGCTGTGTCTGACCTGGAGCACGGGGTGGTGAGTATGAATGATGTGCACGGTGTGGGTGAAAACAATCAGGGAAGTGAAGGAGAGGTTTTGGGTGATGTGGTGGAAAGTGAGGTGGGTGAAGAAAAGGGGGAAGAAACAGCTGGAAAAGTGTGAGTGAAGTGCAGATAAATAAAGCAAGTGGGTCAGTGAAGTGCAGGAGGGTATGTCAGAGGAGGAAGATGAAACACAGGCAGAGGAGGCAGGTGGGGGGGAACAGTAAACTTACATGGGGGGAACAGGTGGAAGAGGCTGAGATGGAGGAGGAGGAAGAGGAGGCAGTGAGGGTCAAATCTGCTTCTAAACGCAGAAGGAAAACTAGAGGCACAAAGTATGAGGCAAAGAATAACAAAGTGGAGGAGGAGGACAGACAGACAGTAAGGGGACAGGGACAGACAGAGGAAAGTGATGACTGTGTCTCTGACAGCAGTGATATATCTGGATTTAAAATAAGTAACAGTCAACAGAAAAAACTTTACTCTGCAGAAATGATTAAGTCGTTTTTAGCAAAAACCAAAAATGCTAAAGGTGTTAAAGTTGAAGAGCATTTCCCAGTTTTAAGTTTGTTTTATACCTCGGCCAGACTCCACATGAGCCAAAAGGAGGAGTCTGGCATCACTAACAAGGAGTTTTTTAGATTAAAAAAACTTGTGTATAAAGTTAGAAAACAACTGAACAATGATGACGGGAAGAGCTCCAATGTGTGTTTTAATTAATTTATTGATTTTTATTTTTGTTCTTAATTTCTCACTTATGGATAATTTTAGAGTGGGAAGTTTGAATATAAATGGAGCCAGAGAGTCAAAAAAAAGAGCAGCTATATATGAAACGGCCAAAATGAAACATATTGATGTTTTTTATTTCAGGAGACACATAGTGATAGCACCAATGAGGCAGACTGGAGGAGAGAGTGGGAGGGGGAAGTCATTTTAAGTCACAACACTTCTCTTAGTGGAGGAGTTGGCTTTCTCCTCTCCAAGTCTTTCACTCCGGTTTCACTGGAGGTCGAGCATTTTATCGAGGGGAGGTTGCTTTTAATTAAAGCACGGTTCGACCTTTTTACTGCAGTTTTTATCAATGTGTATGCTCCAACAATCGGTGCAGAGAGGAAGCTGTTTTTACAAAAAGTTAACCATGTTTTAAATGGCTGTGCCTCGGAGGATTTTTTATTCTTGGGTGGGGATTTTAACTGTACAGAAAATGCATCTTTAGATCGCAACCATGCAGAGCCGCATCCAGTTTCCCAACATGTTCTGAGGCAGCTGGTCTATTCTCATGGCCTGGTGGACGTGTGGAGAAGGATGCATGCAGACTGCCGACAGTACACATGGTCCCACCTCAGAGAGAGTAGGATCTCCTCAGCTAGACTAGACCGTATTTATTGTTTTAAGCATCATTTTAATATTTTTAAAATGTGCAGTATTGTTCCTGCTGGTTTTACTGACCATTCTTTACTCTTGTGTAATGTTTTTATTCAAAATATTTTACCTAAAAGTGCTTATTGGCATTTTAATTCAGTCTTAACATTTGATAAACATTTTAAAGAGGTTCTTATTTATTTCTGGGATGTTTTTAGACAGAGGAAGGGTGAGTTTAACAGTCTTAGGCAGTGGTGGGACCATGGTAAGACTGAGATTAAACTTTTATGTCAACAGGACACCCTCAATGTCACCAGAGACATCACCAGATCTATGAAAGACCTGGAGACTGATATAGTGGAACTAGAAAGATTGAGCGAGTCCACAGCAAATCGAGGATATATTGAAATCCTCAAAGTCAAAAAGCTAGCTTTAGCCGACCTGTTGGATGTTAAAGTACAGGGTGCACTGGTCAGGTCCCGGTTTCAAGCCATCACGGAGATGGATGCTTCCTCTAGTTTCTTCTTCGGCCTGGAGAAGAGGAGTGGGCAGAGGAGGGTAATCCACTCACTTTTAGCAGACACAGGGCAAACATTGACAGAGCCAACCAGATAAGAAGGCGAGCTGTGAGTTTTACTCAGCACTCTACTCAAGTGAGTATGAGGAGGAGGAAGCTCTGATGGAGGAGTTCTGTAATGGACTGCCTCAGGTCTCTGAGGAGACCAACACACAGCTCAACGGGCCGTTACAGATGCAGGAACTGAAGGCCGCTCTGCAGGGCATGCAAGGGCGGCGGGCTCCCGGCATAGACGGCCTGAGTGTGGAATTTTACAAAGCCTTCTGGGACATCTTTGCAGAAGATCTTTTAGATGTTTTTAATGAAAGTCTGGCCTCTGGCTCAATGCCCATGTCCTGCAGGAGAGCCGTAATCACCTTGCTCCCGAAAAAAGGTAACCTGCAGGACATCAAAAACTGGCGCCCTGTGTCTTTGCTGTGTGTGGATTACAAGCTTCTGTCCAAACTCTTTGCCTCCAGGCTGGGGAAGGCTATGGAGCAGGTCATCCACCGGGACCAGACCTACTGTGTGCCCGGCAGGTCCATGGTGGACAATGTCCACCTCATTCGTGATGTTTTGGACGTCTCCAGCTCATCGGGCTGTAACACTGGTCTGATTTCTCTAGACCAGGAAAAGGCATTTGACCGCGTTGAACACAACTTCCTCTGGAAAGTTATGGAGAAGTTTGGGTTCAGCGCTGGTTTCATAGCCAAGATCAAAGTGTTGTACAGTGGGGTTGAGAGTGTGCTGAAGTTTAACAGCGGTCTGTGTGCTCCTTTCAGGATGTGTAGAGGCGTCAGGCAGGGCTGTGCTCTGTCCGGCATGCTTTACACACTCTCCCTGGAAGCCCTCCTTAACAATATACGCTACCACTTACAGGGCTTGGTTTTACCTGGTTTTAATAGCAACATTGTCTTAAGTGCTTATGCCGATGACATTGTTGTTTTTATTAAAGACCAGAGGGATGCAGATATTTTAACCAACATTATAAAACGTTTTAGCGTAACATCGGCAGCGAGGGTGAATTGGATAAAAAGTGAAGCCCTCGCTGTCGGTGAGTGGCGTGACGGTCTCCCAGTTCTTCCCCAGAGCTTGGCCTGGAGAACAGATGGTTTTAAGTACCTGGGGGTTTTCCTCGGGAAAGAACACATAGTCCAGAAGAACTGAGACCGTCACAGAAAAAATTGAGGGGAAACTTTCCAAGTGGAAATGGCTGCTCCCTCAAATGTCTTTTAAAGGTAGAGTATTGGTTTTAAACAACCTTGTAGCATCCCAACTGTGGCACCGTTTAACCTGTGTAGACCCCCCTTCAGGCTTGCTAGCCCAGTTACAAAAGAAAATGGTAGATTTTTTTTGGGATGGTCTACACTGGGTGCCACAAGGGGTGCTGTTTTTAACCAGGGAGGAGGGGGGACAGGGCCTCGTCCACCTGGCCAGCCGGACAGCCACCTTCAGACTACAGTTCTTACAAAAATATCTGACAGGTCCGGCTGATCTAGTGTGGAGAGATGTGGCCAGCTGCATTCTCAGACGTGCAGATTTCCTGGGGCTGGATGCTGCTCTGTTTTTAATTGATTCTAAACTTTTAAAATTAAGTGGGCTGCCTCCGTTTTATCAGGGTGTTTTTAAGTCTTGGGCCCTTTTTAACTGTAAAAGGTGCCCAAAGTCTGACTCTCTGTACTGGTTGTTGAGAGAGCCATTGATTCACAGGGCCAAGCTGGACATCAGCAGCAGCGTCACCCCCGGCCTGACGGTGGCGCTGCTCAAAACCAAGACCCTGTGCCTGCAGCAGCTGGTGGATGCAGTGGGGCCGGCGCTGGTGATGCCGGGCCCTGGGCTCTCTTCTGGGCCTGCACTCTGTCCGGGTGGCGGGGAGGCTCCTGAGCTGTGGCCAGAAGCTTTCGGGGAAAGAGAGGAGCCTCCTCATGGACTATGGGAAAAGAAAGGCCAGACCGGACCCTGCAGACCCCTTCCCTGACGTCTTCCTGAGCCCAGGCCTGGGGGAGCTCACCGGCCCCCTGCTGGCTATAGCACACCCAGAAAAGCTGACAATAAACAAAGCTGACAAAAAAACCTGGTACATGAACTGTGTGAAGGCGATCCACAAGGCCGGACTGTGCAACCGCCCCCCCACTGTGTGGTCAAACAGGCTGGGAGCAAATGGAGCCGGCCCACAGTGGAGGATTTTATATAAACCTCCCCTCAAAAAACGGACTGCCGACCTCCAGTGGAGGATTTTACATGGTGCTATTGCCTCCAATTCTTTTCTTTCTGTTCTTAATCCTGCTGTTCTTAACACCTGTCCTTTTTGTTGCCTTCCAGAGACTGAATGTTTTTATGGAGTGTAAGAGGCTCACAAGCTTCTTCTCTCTTTTAACATTGGTTTTTACTTTTTTTGATGTGGCTTTTACTGAGAGGGTTTTTATTATGGGAGCTGCCTACAAAAAAGAACAAAAAGAGAAGTGGCAGCTCCTTAACTACCTTTCAGGTGAGGCAAAAATGGCCATTTACATCAGCAGGAAAAACAGAGTGGAGAACAGAGAAGGGCAGGAGGCCAAAGCAGTGTGGCTGATAAACATTAGAGCAAGACTCTGGCTAGATTTTAGATTTTATAAACACATTGGAGACTTGGACGCTTTTAAACAGCGCTGGTGTTTTAATGACATAATTTGTTCAGTTGTTGAAGAGTTGGTTTTTGCACAAGTTTTTATTAGATAAACTTTATTTTTTTAAACATACTGGGATTTTAATGCATTAGCACTTTGTTGAACTGTAAAAACTAAATTTATGTAAATAAAGTGTTTTGCAAAAATCAAAAAAAATCTCTGTCTCTCTCTCTGAGTATTTCTCCTCTTGATCTACCTCTCCCCATGGTTGATCGTCTTGAAGATCAACTTGTGGTCTTCAAGTAGTCCCAAGGTGCAAATTATGCAGGGATGGCATCAAGTATGTGTGTATGTCATTAATGCATTCACAGCTTTTCACCCCATTATCTCATCCTCCAGTGATTCAGAGAATCACTGAGCAAAATGTTTTAAGCAACATAACCTTCAAATGAAATTGTGTTTATTTACAAATAAAAACCATGAATGTTGTGAAGAGTACATTGAAAGACACTGTTGAAAATAATCCCCTGTAATCATCAGTCCATCTTCAAAGTGTTGCCACTAATCCCAGTTCTCACCTGCAGCAGGTCCATGTTTCTTAGTACAAAGAACAACACAGTCAGAAGGAGAAGGATGACACAGGTCTTCAGAAGTGTCATGTTGACATGGTTACTCATAAATCCTTTTAGGCACATGGTGAGTCCTCCTCTGGTACTGGATGAAAACAACAAAAAGGGGAAACAGACTCTGTTAGGTTTATCATGAATCCTTCTTGAAGACACTGAAGTTAGTCACAGATTATTAACAGAACTTTTATTTATTTTAAATGTTTGTACTGTCTTAAGTTGAGAGTACTTGCTGTTTGAATTCGACCCTGCTTTTATTTTGGTATAAAGTAAGGATCACCTTGTGGATCAGAAAAAGCCAACTCGTTACAGGTCAAAAACCAAATATAACAGCTAAAATGAACAGTAAGAATAGTGAAATGTTGATGTCAAACAGTGGATATTACATTTGACTTTTAAACTGAGCTGTCTACAATTGAAATGAGACATTCAAAGACGCAGCTGTGTTGTTCTTTCCATCACTGTGCCTACAGAGAGACACGACGGAGGCTTATCCACAGTGTGACCAAAGGGACAAAATATCATGAGATTAATGGCGATTCAAATGACAAGATCGCATTAATTTGGGACCTCAATTAATCTAAAACAATTCACTTCTGCTGACAGCCCTAGTTCACACTAAGCGTCAAATTGTCACAGTCAGGTGTGCTAATGTTACATGATCAGGAAATCTGATCTCATGAAGTAGGGAAGTAATTTGTGGAAAATAGGTTGCATGTAAGGTAGGGTTAGTTTCCCTTCAGGCACACAGTAATGCTTGCATGAAGGAAACATACATTTAGCCTAACTAAAGATTATTTTTAAATTAACTTTTTAAATTGGTACTATTTTGTTACTTTATACTTTAACACAATTACATTTCAGATTCTAATTCTGTTCCATTTATTCCTCAATGTTTTTTCTTCAGTTTCACTTGTTACTTTGTTGATTAAAAAAAATCAATTATTCTAAAAATCATGATGTGTAATTTTAGATATTATATATTTAATTAACCTGATCAACTCTGTGACTCACATGTGTACGGTGGCCAGTAGGGGTCAAACAATCAGCAACTGATGAAACGACATACATTTAGAAAAACGTGCAGCATCTACAGAAACGCTGCACATTCAAAAGCAAATGCAAACTACCACAACAAATGCAAAGGCTGAAACGCGCTGCAAAGACACAAATGCGCTGCAAATAGGCAAAACAACTGCATAATCATCAAACACGCTGCAAACACAGAAACGCTGTAAGTTCAGCCTTAAACGGAAGTGCTCCAGGCCTGTAGGGGCGCTGTGGAACTGTTTATTTACAGGAGAGAGTAAGAGAGACAGCTAGGATCAGAAAGTTATCTTTAGATAGGGGAAGTTGTATCGTTGAAACACACAGGATAACTTCAATGTTACTGAATAAAGAACATCATGTCTTACCTCAGTAGAGATCAATATGGAGAGAACACAGTGGTGAAATCTTAATGTGATGGTGATCAAATGATAAAAAGAAGTTCATCTCTGTGAGTTTTAGTACAATGATAGAATCCTTCACTAACATACAGACACTAACAGACAACCTGTCCTAACAAGAAGCATCAAGACGACACAAAAAGTCATTGGGTTTTCAGAGGGAGGGTTTCACTGCCATGAATGTTGCCGAAGATACAGGAACAGGAAGATACAGTTACTGATAGGAACATACAGCTTATATATTCTCAAACCCTGCAGGCGGTATCCTGAATCAAACCAGTTTTACAGGTTTTTTTGTTCTCTAAAAGGTTAGCATTGTTCTCGCCCAGGTTGCTACGCTGAGTTTCAACTGAATTTTCCAAACTGGACTCACTGAATGTGAAAAAAGAACAAACTCCATCCAAGAGGAAAGAGCCTTCAACTAGATTGGTAGTTGTTGTAGTTGCTGTAACATCCCTCCTAGATGCTCTGACAACAAGATACAAATTGTCATGAATGGTTGGAAAACAAGGAGAGGTGGACCCAAGTGCAGAATAAACTAAAAGTATTTAATAATCAAAAAAGGCAAACAAAAACTTGCTAGCAAAATCCAAAACAAAAAAACAAGGAGACACTAGTAGACTGACAACTACCATGAATCAATGAACTGACATGGAAGGGAAGAAACACAGAGACTAAATAGACACAGTGGTAATCAAACACAGGTGAGACTAATGACACAGGTGAAGACAATGAGGGCAATCACACTGGAGGGAAACACACAGAGGAAGGAATGAACACAAGACAAGAAACACTGAGGACAACTACAAAATAAATACATGAAACACTGAAGACACTGTAGAATGAAAAATTAAGAAACACTAGAACATAGAGGGAAACACCAGGGAAGAATGAGACCTAAAAGATAAAAACCATCTGAACTGTGAAAAACTAAACTAAACAGAACAAATCATGATACAAATGTGTTTTTGAGTAAAATTGCAAATACCTTTAATTATAAATATATATATATGTATATCATATAATTGTGGATTTCTATTACATATATATATATATAACAATAATATTTGTGTGTGAAATATGTTTGTGAATCTTATTTTTTTGTATTTGTGGATTTGTTTTACATTTATATAGAACTATAAATATTTTGTGTGTGCATTGAAATACATTTGTGAATCTTTATGTATGCAATCATGAATATTGAGACTGATCTAACTCCATACTCATCTCTCTCTCTCTCTCTCTCTCTCTCTCTCTCTCTCTCTCTCTCTCTCTCTCTCTCTCTCTGAAGTTGATGTGATACTGCTTTCTTGATATTGCTGTGTCTTTTCTCTCCTCAGGAGTCGAGAGGGATTTCTTTTTCAAACAGGAGTTTTGTTATGTTGCACTGATGCACTCTCTTTTGCGCTCTCTCTCTCCCGTTTTGTCTCTCTCTCTCTCTCTTGTGCGTGCAGCAAATACATTTAAATAAAAACAGGTTGGAAATGTACTTGGATGGCCATAAATATACTTGGGCGCTGGTTCGTTTACTGTAGTGAAAGGTGAGACTGTTCAGAGCGGTGCTTGTTCATTGTTCAGGTGTTCTTGTATGAGTAGTTGAAGTTATGCAGATGACTGCACCACAGTCATTTGAAACATCTGTAATTAAACCTCTTCTTAAAAAGCCTGCTCTTGATTCAATAACATTAGCTAACTATAGACATATATCTAGCCTTCCTTTAATCTCAATTAAATGACTTTACATCTACTGGAATGTTTGTGATTTTGCGTTTGGATCATCATTTATTTTTTGGGCCCTTAAGTGTCCCCTGAACTGGAGATTATGAATTGATATGTGTGCTGGAAATTTCTGTAATGAGAGATTGTTTAATAAAAGATCTTTGAGTCATTCAGTTGTGTTTGTTGCCATTTTATTATTCCTTTTGCAAATAGGAAGAGCAAATGTACAGATTGAAAGATAAGTCTGCAGCAAAGCCCAGAGAAGGGCAGTCCAACTCCACACTATATAGACATTCAGTTACAAAGTTATGACGCACTCACTGTGGCTATGCTAAGATAAAAAAGAAACCTGATAAGGACAGTTCTCGGTGCGGATCCAGGGAGGATCTGTAATTATAATCTTCGTGTGCATCACTAACAGTCTAGCAACATTTCCAGGAGGCACATACATTTCCTGTTACATTTGTTTTTTAGAATTGCATGTTTAGGCTTTTGTTGTTTTGGAACTTGATGTTTATTTGTTGATTCAGAGCTCACATCATAATGATGATTGGTTGCAGGCTTGTAGCCACTGATGCTGGGTGCAGCACAACTCAAATAGTGGGTTTACACTTTTCTCTTGAAGCAAAGAAATCAAAATAAACCCTTAAATTAACCTCAGATCATTTACTAAACCAAATTAACTTTCAATAATTAAGTGATATTGCACCAGTAACTTAAATATAAAAGAAACGATTAGAAAGAAAACATTTCTCAGAATTAAAACCCCTTCAGTTGGTCTGCCCCAGTGATGTCAGCGATGATATCATCAATCAGAAATTGTCGACTCCCTATTGGAAAAAGAGGTCAAAGAAGGATTCATGATCAGTCCGTTTGACAATCCCCCATTTCCAGTATTCAGAGTCAGTCATAGCCACCAGGAAATACTATGTAAAATAATGGAAAGTCAATATGAAATGTTTAGTCTACATGGTACTATGCAACCCTGCTGGATTTCCACCTACCTGGGCTTCTCCACCGAACCCTGCGGGGGGCCTTTTCCCGTCCCACTACGCACCGTTTGAAGCCGAACTACACTCTGGCTTTGCGGCGATCTGCAGCAAATCATCCTCCCTCACCTGCTTCCTTGCAGCGAGCGGATCCTGCATCGCTAGCGATGGAGCCGAACACCTTGGTTATTGGTGATTCCATAGTGGGGCATGTCAGGAGAAGATCAGCTGTGACATACTGTTTTCAAGGCGCTATGGTCTTGGACATATTGGATAGGATCCCCAGTCTCTTGACAAAACACCCACACGTTACGAACATCATCTTACAGATCGGCTGCAATGATGTTTCGATCTTCAATATTAAAATATGACTTTAACAGACTCCTTTGCTCGCTGGATTCATGTGGCAGGCGTGTTTTTGTCTCCGGCCCCATTCCTCCACTAGGCCGAGGTGTCGGTCGTTTTTGCCTCATCCTCAGTCTCCACACATGGCTGCAGTCTACCTGGGCAGTCCATAATAGTCCTGCTTTCATTGATCATTTTAACCTCTTTTGGAATCGCCCCTCCTTTTATGGGAGAGATGGAATACATCCTAGCAGTTTGGGTGTACATACTTTGACACACATGTTTTTTATAGTCACAACCCCATCCTGAAAAATACTCACCACCTCCCTCATGTGGCATTCTCTGTCAACTACCAGCTGTTAGCCCTATACTCCCTTAAGTCTAAATACAACAACATTTGATACACAGGTTGTAATCAACAATAGGCCTTAAGAAATAACATCAATATGCCTACAGCCCCTAGGATCTGTAACTTAGTCCCTATAGAGACCACCCCCTCTGGCCACCAAAGTATCCCTGTGGAATTGGCTCTCTTGAATGTAAGGTCTCTCTCCAAAAAAGATTTCATTCTGAACGATTTTATTTCCTCCAAGAATCTAGACTTTTTATTTTTAACTGAGACCTGGCTGTTACCTGCATGGCGACCACAGCCAGATGCTTGAGCTATGCTTGCTGCACTTCACCCGTCCTCTGTTTAATGATCTTCTGCCCGCCTGGACACAATGGTAGTTTTTTTTTTTTTTTTTTTTACTTGAGCTTTATTTCAAAGTTGCTTTGCTTATTTCAATCATATCAAAATACATACATGTACAAAAACAAACAAAATATGGGTCATACAGCAGGTGAAAAAACAAAACATAAGACACTGATAATCTTTTATCTGGTCAGTCCATAAATGTACCACATGCACAGGTATCTCTCAAAACTTCAATTCAGCCAATACTTAATACCCCAAATGTTTAAGCATATGTATCCTCATATTCTTGACTTCCTCCGTCCAACACCTATTGCATGTAGAAAGTACATTATGCATTTGTGATCTTAATCTATCTTGGAAAATGAAGTAGTACCGGTTCCCATTTATTTTTGAAAACATCTGTCTTTAGTTGAAGTCAGGCTGTTATGCTCTCCATCTCATAAACACTTTTTAACCTTTCCCTCCATTGTTGTACAGTAGGTGGCTTTACATTTCTCCACAACACCGTAATCACTTTTTGCGATCAACAGCAACACTCAGTAAATATGTCTGTTTTTTTGTGTTTATTTCTTCTTGAGTGTTCCTAAGTATAAAAAAATGCTGGTTCTAATGACAAATCAAGCCCCAGAATTTTCTTGATCTCTGCCTGAATATGTCTCCAGTATTTATTCAATTTGGGACAATCCCAGATTTTATGAGTATGGTCTCCTATCTTCCTGCACTCTCTCCAGCAAAGCTCAGATGTGTTGCTGTATCTCACCATCAAAGGAGGGGTTTTAAATATTCTCCTTCAGACTCCCTCCAGGTAGGACTGCTTGTTAGTTTATGCACAGAAAGACATGTTTTTTTCCCACATTTCATCAGTAATAATAGTATTCATTTCTAATGCCCATTTCTGTTTCGTTTGTAAAGTGTCTCCTGTGTCCTTACCCTGAAACCATCTGTAGAGATGGGAAATCAGATTCTTTTTCAACACTCCCTCCACAGTCAACATAAAGATTCTTTCTAAACTCGATGGTAACTTAGGGCGCGGTCACACTGGCCATCTGTAGCGTGCTGTACTCAAGGACGATTGCCCCCCGCTGTGCCATACCCACACTGGCCGGCACAGCCCGCGGTCACACTGGCCAGGACTAACCGTGCCTAAAAGCACGATTACCTCTTGTACATAACATCGTAATACAACACATGCACGCTTTATGTTATTATGAAGCGTGCTCAGTTTAAAAACAGGCGGACGAGAGAGAGAGAGAGAGAGAGAGAGAGAGAGAGAGAGAGAGAAAAAGAGACGCGCAGTCGAGTCCGTGTCTGCACCTCAGAGAAAAACACAGAGAGCATGACCATATTATGCCCTTTTTGGGGTTCATATATTTAATCTATGTACCTACTAAAGTATGTTCACAATTGCTAAAGTTCTAAAAAGTGTCTGTTTTCATGTTCTGTCGCTCCATGCACCGGCTCACTTCTGACTCTCTCTCTAAGGCTCTGAAGTGCCCACGTTCAGAGTCCCCATGTGTGCCAAGTCTGATCTGATTGGTCGGCCTGTCGGCTCTGCCGTAATTGGTCAGTCGCTCAGCACGGTTCTCGGAAATGTCCCGCCTCTTTTACCATATTGGGAATGCAGCCACTGGCTCCGTCCGAGGGGAGCATAAACATTAGCACCTTAGCGCTACGGCATATCGTGGGCGTGCTACAGAAGTTAACGGGCGTGCAACATGAGCTGCTGGGCTTGCCACAACGAGCCAATGGGCTTAGATCAGTGATCTCACACTGACAAGACGTCACACTGGCAAATGTTTTCCGAGGGGGGCTAGAACCGAGCGTTACATGCAGCTAATGCTACAGCTAACAGGAGGACAAGGGAGAAGCCACGTTTCTGCGGACTTTGAATTTTTGCAAATAGATGTGCCTAAACATGCAC